CCGAATTTCATTTTACGACGACAGCGTCGAAATTGCCTGGATAACGTACGTATGTGTTGTGACTGCTATTGCCTCGAGCATTTTTGAATGTTTTAGTATAGGATCGATCTGGCTGAACGAGTCGGCGTTTTGAGCGATGATCGACAGGTGCACTATCCTTTTCGCCCAAAACGCTGGAAACGCTCAAACGCTGACGAGAAACATGAAGCAGCCCACCGCAACCCAGTCCAAGTAGTTTTGGATCGCATTTATATCTTGGAAAGCACTTGGTCGTAAAATTACTGTTTAGGTTGCGTGGTGCACACACTACACATCATCTTACGCGCAAACATGAAAAATGTGTGGTGTGGCAGGGGAGAAGATTAATGCGACTGTTCGAACTGAACCACTGTGGGGAAAGAATTAAGGAGATCGACGTAAATGGCAGCATCACTTCTCTCAGTTTAATTAGATCGCCTTGAATGGTAATATACAGCAGCACAGTAGATGTTGCGGCGCATTTGGGGAAGTGAAGCATGAGCGGAACTCAACAGTGCTTATGTGTTCCTTCCACTTATCTAGGCTTAACCTTGGTCCGGAGCATTCCCTATCTAAGGTTTGGGCTGTGTGAAGGAGCGTAACCTGTCACGTCATCCGGCACACTGAGTTTTTGCCACTGTCCGAGCCATGGGGGTACGCCAAGGCCTACATTTAATAGGAATGATGAACCTATGGATAGCGCTCCAAATGTTTATATGAGATTCCGATAGTACCGCAAATTCTTTTCGAAGTTTTCTATGTGGAAGTTTAAACTTTTATGAGTTACGCAGTCAATTTTTTTTGGACGAGTCACATCCGCTTAAATGCAGCGAATTACAAACTGTATTGACTAAAGCAATTCTGAAGGACTCGGGTAGATTAATAAGACATGTCTACCGTTCCATGGTGAGATATATACCGCTTGCGGGATGACAGTGACCTTATCTATCGGAAGACTTGCACGACTCTCGAGAGGTCTTCCCTGTGATTTCTCGGGCACCTATGGTTGTCCGCGCTCTAAGCCGAAGCCTAGATTAGGAGAACGGTATTTAGTGCCTCCATCTGAATTAACCAGTGATTTAAGCGCCTATGTGCTTCCACATCATTACTGCAGAACAGCGAAATAATGGTAAGGAATATATGACGCGCGAGAATCAAGAATAAGCCAAGCAGAGAAAATTCTGGGCAGTAGATACGACCCTCGTTGTGCCTTGTACAACGGATGGTGAGCCTTCGCCTGCAATGGCTGTCAAAACTTCTTCATAGGTTCACGAACAGGAATCAAGTTTGTATATCATCCCATTTACTTCTACTGACTTACATTTCTATTTGTGGCGAATGAAATCAGCATACTCATCGAAGTCACTTATTGTCAACAATTCTCTAATTTGTAAAGTGTGGTTTCCATCAATGAGCTTGCTCGAAGGAGAATATTGGAACTACTGAAACTATAAAGTAGCGCTTCCTGTTCTACACCACTCCGAACTGGTGTTTGCGTCCGTTTCCTTGATTTCTTCCACAGTGATTCGATCCGAACACTCGCATCAATCTTCCCCTCCGCTACACTATATCGTCGCCGTCCAAGAAGTTGATTAGGCATTGTTCACACTCTGCGGTCCAGCGTTTCTCTGAAACGCGGCGGTTCGGCGAAAAGCTTTCGATACATATCGACTGGCGGTTGGGCGAAAGGGTTTTGGTACGTATCGACGGGCGTTTCGCCAAACCGCGACGTTTTTCGCCTTCGACAAAACGCTAGCTCCATCGCGGTGGCGTTTTTCGCCAGCGAAATCGATACACATCTACACATCTACTGCTTTTCGCCCAACCGCCCAACCGCGGCGGTTGGGCGATTCTCCGATCGATGACTATTTTTTGCTTTTCTCCCAACCGCCGTTTCGTCAGGGCCTGGCGACTGTGAACAATGCCTTATCCGGCCCAAGAGAAGCGACGCGGCTGCGGCGCGTAACGACCGCGGCGATCAGCTGTTTCCAGCCTAATTTAAATTTTCTCCCTAATTTTCACTGTATTCTCTATTTTTTTCAAGGTAATTTCCGTTATTGTCTATATGAGGTATATTAAAACGTGAATTCTTCTTTTTTGTCTCTGTAATGATGTGTTTTTCGCGATTTTTTAGGTATTTGTTTATTTGTTTTTAATCGTTTAACTGTTTGCAAAGTTAGAAAAACTCAATCATAATTCCGTGAAGACAATGAACAACTAACATTAAAAAAACAGCCAAAGACAGTGAAAAGTAGGGAGAAAATGACTAAAACAGGCCGGAAATAGCTCATAGCGGCAAACAGTTCCTACGCACGCGGTCGCTGGTCTGCGGCCCTTTGAAGACCGCCCTAATCAACTGCCCGGATGATGAGGTACAAACCGGGTGTATGTCGTTTGGCGCGATTTTTTTGTCGTCTACGCGTCAGAACATGTCAGACAAACCGACTTCCAGGTGAGGTAACTCGTCCAAACTTCAGACTAATGTATTTCCCTAACTGGTAATTAGGAGAAAACTTATTGTTAGAATAATGAGCACTATAACCAAAAGTGACGGCTTTCGATAGACTGCAAATTACGAAAACCCTTATAGTTCAGTGATTTGGACAAGTTATCCGGTAGGGGTGTACCTGTCAGAACCAGTAAACGGCCAAGAAATCGCGCCAAACGACCGCCTCCCGTACAAACCAAGCACGATCCCCTAATTTTGCATGTTTGCGCGTGGGATGTTGTATAGTGTGTGCACCGCGCAACCAGTACAATTCATTTTAACGACCAAGTACTTTCCAAGTGATAAATGCGATCGTAGTTTTGTCTTCAATATCAATCAAATAAGAATCTGTTTAGTTTTTAAGACAACACGACTGCATCGGAATGAGGAAATTTTCGCCTTCCAGATTAGTGAGCGAATATTGTTACCCTCTGCGCTTTTCTCCCTATATCTGCACCACTCCTAGAATGCCTAGAGTAGTTCAAATTCCAACGGCGAGCTTATTCTTGAAGTTGATAGGGCTGACTATGGATTTCGTACTGTATTTTGTTCAAAAAAATTATCGTCAACATTCCACGTATCGCACGAAACCAACAGTCGGCAGGAAGTAAGCAGGAAGAGATAACCACGCTACAACGGAAGGAGGCTATAACTGTCATCAGAACCATATATTAAAAAAGCAACTACTGGAACTATTAGTCGAACATGGAAAAGAGCGGGGCAGTTATCACGGAATGAATTCGGAGTCCCGTTCGCAAAATTATTTTGTTCTACCAATTTAATCAATTTCGGGAAGTCTCGTGACATTTTCATCTGGAAAATGCTTCAACAAGATGCCTCAGTAATGTGTAAAGACTCCACTGGAATGTCATGAGAAATCCTGACCCGAGACGGACCATTGAAACACGATTATACATGTGCACTGATACAAAGAAAAGGGATGTGTTGGAGCACACAACGAGCCTACAGATTGTGTGTACACTACTCCATGCAATCGTTCTATTTTTATCTCCTTCCTCCAAACAGTTAGCATGACGCGACATGACATGATACGTGACACCTTGGACTTTTGTACATGTCCTGTTACGAAACCCTGTGAGGCAGACGGGTAGAGGGCAGCGGCTGCCAAAGCATCGAAATGCAAAAAGCGTATGGCAGCCAGGAAACGCGTTGTTTTGCGAGGCTAACGAGTGTGCCCTAGAGTCACACTAGGGGCGTGTCAGGTCACGCTTGTCCCGGCAATGCGTGACCCGATATGGGCCATTCCGGTCTATTCCTGGTAACTGTGTGGCGGCTCATTATTCGACTGACGTAATGGCTGAAGAAGACGCTCAGAATTCGGAAGCTACATCCCCTCCCCAACCTACCAAAGTATACCAGCTCTCAGAAGAAGATTTGGAGCGACTGTTGCGGTCTCGCACGAATCCCTCACCCACTCATACTACTCCTAGCCACTCATTCACAAGAACCGGACTAGCCAGGCAATTTGAATTCAACAACGAACTGCTAAACATCGTTCGGCCAATCGTCGACCAAGCGATAGAGGGATCGGACGTCAAGAAGGACTTGGAGAAGGCGGTTTCTCTGTTAACAGCTAGGAACGAGCTTCTTATCGTTGCGGACGGTGACCTCTCAGTATTCGCATTCTACGATCAACACAAGAAGGCGGAGGTTGCGAAAGACCCAGTTATAGCCGCCTTTCTCAAAGCGAAGGAAAAAGAAGTGCCCAGACCTCGTAAAACTAGTGTCTGGAAGGCTCCTCGTTTTGATCCATATGAGAGGAGCAAAACTCCCTTTCGGAACCAGAGATCGGCCTGGGCACCCGCATCTCTTCCCTACATGCCCCAACCTTCTCAGTTCTACCCTAAGGAACAAGGATCGAGCAGAAGCACCAAAATGGAAAGCAGAGCAGCCCCTAGATTCGCGAATTCGAGAGATATGTGCTTCGAGTGCGGCCGCTTTGGTCAGTTTGGGGACAATCCACTTTCGGTAGCTCAAGAAAAATTCGAGAAAATTCGGCTGATTCTCGACTTGTCAGATTTGAACAGGTCCCTAGATAAATTCCACATAAAGTTTGAAGACGTTCCCAAGATTAGAAATTTGCTTCCTCGTCATGGCTTCATGACGACTTTCGATTTAAGGTCAGGTTACCATCACGTACTAGTTCATAAAGACTTTAGGAAGTATCTGGGATTTCGTTGGGAGACCCACACCTACGTCTTCAATGTCCTCCCATTCGGACTTTCCCCAGCTCCTTTCATTTTCACCAAATTGCTTAGACCCTTGTTGGGAAATTAGAGATCCCAGGGCATAGGCATAGCAATTTACTTAGACGACGGTCTTATGGGGTGAATCAGAAACTCAATAGGGAGTCTACTCGGAAAGTTCGCAATGACTTGCTGAACGCTGGCTTTTTCATTGCGGAAGAGAAGAGTTCCTGGTACCCGCGGCAGAAAGTGACCTGGTTAGGGCACATTTTGGATTTGAGAGAGAGATGTCGTTGGACATCACACAAGAACGGAAAGATAAAGCCTGTTCAGGCATAAGTTCCTTGCTGAAGGACAGAAATCCCTCCTTGAGAGATAGGCTAAAAGTGTTAGGTTTCTTGGCATCAATGCATTCAATTATGTCCAGAGATCTAACTAAGAAAAAAATCGTTCAGTGAAATTGCGCACAAAACTTCTGAGGGGCATCGCCTGGCTTTTTTTTTGGTCTCTCAGTCTGGAGGAGCGCGAAGAATTGAAGGATTGGCTCTGCTTTCTACGCCGCAGCAAGACCCCTTTGCATATTTGGTGCAAACCTTTTCGGGACTTCTTCATTATTTCCACAGACGCTTCAGAATCGGGAGTAGGGGCCGTTTTTCACACTTCCACGGGAAGGAACAGGGTCAGTTCTAGTACATTACCATGCCATCTTCTAGCGGCATCTAGCACTGCTCGCGAGTTATTTGGGTTCCTTTATGCTCTTAAAGCATTCAGCGCTTTCATATATAGTGAAAAAGTTCAGATTCAGACGGACAGCCAAACGGCGCAAGCAGTTTTTTATTAGGTTGTCCAGAAAGTTCTGCATGTTTTGTGACACTATTTTTTTGCACCATTGCTGATTAAAAACTCATTCTCCCTTGCGTCTCAGTAGTACATCCTGAAGAGAATTTCTTGCGCTATCTGATGGTATAACTGCCGTTTCACCATTGCTTGATGAACCCCCTTTTTTAAGATTTTTTCAAGCATGTGAAAAGAGCACTTCGGACGATTTTTTTCTTCGACTATAAATTGGGGCAATCCGCAATCGAAACAGCTCAACAAATTAACCAGGTGTGGGGGCCCAATAGTGCTAGAGAAAGCACTGTGCGGCAATGGCTCAACAAATTTCGTTCTGGAGATTTCAGCCTTGAAGATGAACCTCATAGCGGTCGACCTAAAGCAATATCTGACGAGGATTTTAGGGGATTTTGGAGGCTGACCCATCCCAAACAGTTCGAGAGATTGCAGAAAAGCTAGGCGTTGGCAAATCCACTGTTGCAGATGGTCTGGAACGCATTGGGAAGGTGAAAAAACTCGACAATTGGGTGCCCCACAATCGGAGTGACCGGCAGGAATCGGCACGTCTCGAGGTTCCTTCTGCATTGCTTTTGCGCAGCAGAAACGACCTGTTTTTGGACCGAATTGTCACCTGTGATGAAAAATGGGTCATGTATGATAACAGGAGACGTTCCGGACAGTGGTTGGATTTCGACGAACCACCAATTTTTAAAGCCGAACCCTCACGAAAAAAAGATTCTGGTCACGGCTTGGTGGTCATCGGCTGGTGTGATCCACTATAACTTTTTATCACCAGGCCAAACCATCACAGCAGAACCCTACTGTGAAGGAATCGACGAAATGTACCGAAAATTTTGTCAGCTGCAGCCAACACTTATCAAAAGAAAGGGTCCGATTCTTTTGCATGACAACGCCCGCCCACACGTTTCACAAATCACTATCCATAAATTGAACGAATTGGGGGTTGAAGTTCTACCTCAACCGCCATATTCTCCAGACCTTTCACCAACCGAATATTCCCTTTTCAAACATTTTCAGAACTTCCTTGCTGGAAAATACTTCATCAAACAGGACCAGGCAAAAAAGCCTTCGTGGATTTCGTGAATTTTCGACCACCCAGTTTTTTACTTTGATGGGATTTCTCGACTGCTGTCACATTGGCAAAAGTGTGCTGATTCGAATGGTGCTTATTTGGATTAAATCCGATGAGTGTTAAGAAAGTTATGATCGTTTAAAGTTAAACACTCAAAACCTGCAGAACTTTCCGGACAACCTAATATAAAGGGAGCACAAAAAGAGATCTCCAAGAAATTGCAACCCAGATTTGGGAAACCACAGAGCGGCTCAGTATACACTTAGAAGTGTTTTGGATACCCAGAGAGCTCAACCAGGAGGCAGACAAAGCGTCCAGGGTCGTAGATTTGGACAGCTGGTCCATTTTAGACTCCATATACGAAAAACTTTACGAGATCTGGGGCCCGTTTGAGGCTGACTTGTTTGCTAGTGCGGAGAACAAGAAATGTGAAACGTTTGTTTCCAGATGGTTCAGCGAAGGTTGCGCAGCCGTCGACGCGTTTAGCGATTCCGCAGAGAAATTCTGGTCCCGGTGTTCTTGCTGGTGGGTTCCTCCTCCATATTTACTTCCTCTTACAGTGCTGACTGCCAGAAGGTTACGAAGTAGGGGAGTTATTGGCTTTCCCGTATGGCCTTCGCATCTATCTTTTGCATCGTTCCGCTCTAGTTCGGGATGGATTTCGGAAATAAAAGATGTTTTTGTGGTTCCTAGAGGAGCCGTTCTTATAAAGGAAAACTCGCCTTCCTTCACTTTTTCCTCGCCCTCGGTCAGCTTTGACTTCATTTTCGCTAGGGTGGACTTTGGGGAACGTTTGTAACCCTCCAGCTTTAAATTTCCGACGAGTTAGCCAAGCAAAATATAGTTTTTGACGAGGGTAGGAGTCAAAAGCGTTGTTTTGCGAGGCTAACGAGTGTGCCCTAGAGTCACACTAGGGGCGTGTCAGGTCACGCTTGTCCCGGCAATGCGTGACCCGATATGGGCCATTCCGGTCTATTCCTGGTAACTGTGTGCCCTCCCGCCCGCCCTATTTAGCCCATGGTATACCTGTTGGATATGGGTCAGCGCTGTTTTGTTGGGGCCCCCTTAACACAAGATCTGTTCAGGTCCAAAATGGAAAGCCTGGTCGGAGACGATTCAATCTGCCAGAAACGCAGGAAGGGAGGAGTTGGCCCAAATAATAGGCACTTCGGCAAACAAATCTCTAGCGCCAGGAACAATTGCAGCCTACTCCTCTATGAGGAGACGTTTCGACGAGTTCACTACCACACTCGCCATTGAAAAGACGCACTTAGGAAAACTTCGGAACCTTTTCTTGGCCCATCTTATCAACCAGAACCAGCTCAAAATTCTCTCCACAGCGGTCGCCTCTCTGAATTTCTTCTATGGCCACTTGGAAGACGGAGAAGCGGAATTGCAGAAGCTTCTGATGGATTCTGCTAAGAAGGAGGCCCCCGCTGTGATGCACAAGGAGAAGGCCTCCGAAGAGGACGTCGATAAGATGGTCGAATGGGCCCTGAACATGAATACAGCCAAAGCAACAGAAGACTGTTGCATTATTTTGCTTTCGTACTTAGCCTTCCTGCGGATAAGTGAAACGGCGGCGGTTCGTAAGGAGCACCTGCAGGCAAAAGGCGGCGATATTTGGTGGCTGCTCATTCCAAAATCCAAAACAGACCAGAGCAAAAGAGGTACGGAAGTGGCTTTCAAAGTGCAAGGGAGACGCGCAGTTCTTTGGAACAAGTTCGTCGCGCTGATAGCCGACAAATCCCCCCACCAATTCATTTTTTCACCAGTAAGTGATTACTTACTAATGTTTAGATCACTCTTCGATTGTACGAGGGCTGCCTTTTATATTTCGGGATTCGGCAACCCCAGTGTTGCAATCTGGCAGCTGACAGCTCTATCGTAAAGTTTGACCTTTTTGAGGTTATACGTACTCAGAACATTTTGACATTTGAGCGCTCTTTGTGTTGTTTACACTAGCTTAAACTATTTTGGTCGGCCGTTGGTGAGGACAACATGTTTGGTTTTCAACGCGAACAAATTTTTTTGACAGTCAAATGTTCATGCAATATTGAATGTATGCTGGTCCCCTTGAAGCTTAAGGTTGTCTCGGACCAGCATACATTCAATATTGCATGAACATTTGACTGTCAAAAAAATTTGTTCGCGTTGAAAACCAAACATGTTGTCCTCACCAACGGCCGACCAAAATAGTTTAAGCTAGTGTAAACAACACAAAGAGCGCTCAAATGTCAAAATGTTCTGAGTACGTATAACCTCAAAAAGGTCAAACTTTACGATAGAGCTGTCAGCTGCCAGATTGCAACACTGGGGTTGCCGAATCCCGAAATATAAAAGGCAGCCTACGTATCGTAACTTAATTCCTTGTTTCAGAAGTTTGCACATCAACCGTCCACCGATTCTCTACGAAAACGTATAGACAATGTCCTCCAAGGAGCGGGGTTGCTTCATAAGGGCTTTACATCGCATTCCTTCCGAGGAGGTGCAGCAGCAGCCGCTCTGAGAAGAGGAGTTAGCTATGAGGACATAAGAAGAGTGGGACGTTGGAAGGCTTCGACCTCTATGCTGCACTACCTAGACCCAGCACCCATAAGACAGGAACGCGGCTAGATTCCGCACCCGACTGTTACCACGCGCGCGCAAATTTGAATACAAACCGTGGTTTGAATTATCTTCCCGCGCGCACATTTCAACATAAAACAGCGCTTGCTGAAGTTTCTCTTATTCTAGCGGTAGGAACTTATTCATGGAGCTGTTTCTTCACTATTCTGCTGATTCATGGAGCGGTTTCTTCACTATTCTGCTGTTATTCGCTATTCTGCTGCCCTATGCGTCCAGATCACCGACACTGCTAGTGAATTCTTCCTGGTTCTACAAGTCTGTTCTTCAGCTGTCCACTGGATCTGCTATTCACCACTGTGGTATTTTTTCTGTGTATTCTTCACTGTTCTGCTACTCTTTCCTCCACGCCACCATATCTGACAGGTAAGACGTGATCATTACTCCGCTAATGATTTCTAGACAGTTTCTCTTTTGCATGCAAAGCTTCCTTGAAGTTTTTCCTAAAGTTTCCTAGCGTTCTTTTTTGACGGAATGGCATTTTCACTGTTCATTTAGCATCAAAGGTCGAACTTATTTCTCTGAAATAGTTATTTCTCTTTCCAGTTATATCACTGTATCTGTCTTATGTTGCTCGCTTAAGAGGACTCATATGGTCAGGTTTCTTTCGTGCTTTCCATGGGTTGTCGCGAGGAACTGCTACGCGAACCCCTTGTGAAGTCTCGAGATAGCCTGAAAAGGTGCCTGAGGCCTCAGAATATCTGTCCACCGCTGAGCCTCCCTCAACTTCCGTTTTCCTTTCTCCTTCCTGCTTTTCCATTCACCCTTCCTTCATTCCTCTTCCCACCTCACTTGCTTATTTCCTTCCTCCCAATGTTCGACCAGAAGATGCGATGACAAAATACCTCTAGACTCTCGCAGGCGAGAGAGCATCCGGTTGATAGGCTAAGAATGTTTCGTAACCTTTACAATCCATTCAACACTGTCGACCGCTGGCTAAAGTTGACACAGATGAAGCAATGGAACAGCTGGAAGAGATCTTGTGCTACCTGCAACTCGCAGCAGGAATAGCACAACCTCCATCGTCCAGTTCATTGGCCGTTCTCCCAGAGTTGGCACAAATTGGGGGCAAGCCGCAGTTGACGAAAGTGCAACTTTACCAGGTACCCTACATTGTATGGCCAAGATAAGGTCAAGTAAGATTTCCATTCTCCAAAAAAAACCCGAGCACATCAATAATTTCTAGCGCGGAAAAGAGAAGAAGCCGAAGAAACCACAAGGAGATCTGCATGAGGAACTTAGGCAAATGAGGGAGCCGTCGTCCGACACTACGAAAGAAGGATAAACATTGTTGGGACAAACAAAGAATTCCACTCATTAAATTCGTGTAATTGTTTTCTACTCGCGAGAGTAGTATACCACCTAGCACCGACAATAATTATAATCATATTCATTTATTTACGTTTACGCTTATTTACTTTTATGCTTTGACGCCTTGTTTAATATTTGTATGCGCCACTACCTCACTTGTTACTGTTACTAGGATTTTTGACGGATTTTTCCCTATCTCGTGCGTCTAAAGACAATAATAAAGTTCACATAAAGTTAGTTTATGGGACAGCAGTAATGTGCAGTGAAACTAAGTTTCTGGTTTATACATTTAGAACGCTATGAAAAAACTATCGCAAACAAAAGAGAAACTGTCGAAGAGATCGTGTTCCGGAGTCTACGTGCAACGCTTAAGCTGTCTTGTGTTGAAATGTGCGCGCGGGAAGATAATTCAAACCACGGTTTGTATTCAAATTTGCGCGCGCGTGGTAACAGTCGGGTGCGGAATCTAGCCGCGTTCATAAGACAGCTCAGAAATGTAGCGCCTCTAGGACTAAAGTCAATTGTTACTGCCTACCAATCACTAGGCTTATTTTACTCTGCATAATCTATATTGCTAGACGCATTAAAATAATTATGAGTTTTCAGTTCTCTCTGATATGTACAGGTACAGGTACACACGAACAAGGACGGACAAGTAAACAAGATGCTCTACCATTGTAACATTTGTTGAAAATGTCGTAAATGTAAATGTGCTAAATTCTAATCTACTTCTATGTTCCGTCCATTTCAGTAATATATTGATGTACATATATGTATTTTGCAAACGACTTAAGGATTATTGATGATGGCATAATAACCAGGAATAAAGCCGTTCTCGACGAGTTAGCCAAGCAAAATATAGTTTTTGACGAGGGTAGGAGTCAAAAGGGATTTTTCAAGGGAAGGGGACTCGGGGTGGGTGAGCTACTTGTAGTCGGTGAAAAGCTGGAGTGAGCGAAGTCACAACGGCCATAGAGTGCCATGCGGACGAGTGCAGAGAAAAAGAGAAGATCGACGGTTCAAAGGTATTAAGTGCAAGTTGTCCGTAGACCCGTCTAGACACGCTGTTGTCGTGAGATGCTGTGTTTAGTGTGCACCCAGATTTATTTACGCACGGTGCTGTTTGATAATACTGAAGTTACCGTACTGCATACAGGGATCATTACTGTACTTCTTGTGTTTCTCTATTATGAATTTTCTGTAGTGTACCGTGAGCGTGCATTTCTAGCTATTTCAAGCTAATCACTCGAATATTGTTTGATATCTCACTTTTATTTGTCGTTGTTCTGTCCATGTAGGGCACTATTGAACTATTTCTACCCCAGTCTGCCGAAATCAGGCCGATTTTTACTGGATTTTTTTCCGCAGAGGCAGATTTAGCTGATTTGATTGTAGAGGTACTTCGAGCTCCTGAACATGAATATCACATCCGCTTGGGCCAAGACCGCCTGGCGCCCGCGCCCGCCGCAGGCGCCAGCACTAACGACATTTACGAATATGACATTTATTCTTGGCGCCGGCGCTAACGTAGGACACTATGGTCATCTGCGCTTTGCTAGGACTGAGCCTGGCCTGAAGGGAATCACTCTTTTCCCAGGTTCAGCCTCAGCAGAACGCTAAATGGCGCTGGTATGGAGAAATAAATGCCATACTCGTGATCAGGGCATCAAACAACCCTAGTTTCATCAGTTCTGGGGAGAAAAGGTGTGGCACCATATTGGCGCCAAATGGCGTCAGCGCGTTAGGAATAAATGTCATATTCGTGATCAGGACATCGAATAACATCTACAGACAAAGTTTCAGCAGAATTTTTTTTCGAGTTTTTGGGGTAGGAAGAGTTCAACAGTGCCCCAAATCTATTGTGGAAGGCCTGAAAACTTGTAATAAAACGTCTGAGAGCCTAGAGGGAAGGGGCACCTGGCTGGGTGAATACGTAGGTGATTTGTCTTCCTCCTAAGCCAATGTATGCCTTTCGCCATTTCTCTGCTTATGCCCAGTCCTCCCTCTCTGGCTCTCGCCGCTCTGCATCCATACCCTTTTTGGTGCACTGTCCGATCGAATATAGTGCAGCAAGAGTGTAGTCGATATACCCTCCACCAGCACATGTCGCTGGGGGAGATTCTTGGACAGTGTGGAGCACAGGATGCAAAAGCAGAAAAGAGGGGCACGACTGACATCACGGCAGTGAGCAAAGGATTGCTGTGCATAGGGTGCGTGTACTTAGATACCCGGTGGGCGTGGCCAAAATAGGGCGAGGGCTTGACGTGGACGGATATAATTAGGCTTCAGCGCTTCTTCCTGAGCTTGGAGACGATAATTTCCTTCTTATTAAACAGCTGTGTGTTTCTACTGCTTGAACTAAGAAGTTCCGAGAGGAAGAATTAACTTAGATTGGAATTTATGCTTTTTGCAAAGGTATACAGTCGTCATCCTTGCACTTGATAGGGGCGTGTCGGCGAGAAGGAGCGTGCACACTGTTTGAAGCCTTCTCAGCCTTTTCGTTGAAACGCGTATGCGACAAAAAGTGATAGAAAACGAGTAACACGAAGGATATAATACAGTAATGTCACTTCCTGGTTCAACGATTGGTGCAGTACGGGTGCGGGCGACCGCGCCGCACGCAGCCGCACTGACATTGACTATCAAGTGCAAGGATGACGACTGTACATTAGGCAGAGGCGAAAAAGTGGTTATCAGGTCTTACGTATGATCATGAAATCAACATTAAGCACACCTTGAAGACAATAGGAACGTTTACCTTGTAAACGGTGCTCCCGTCTAATATCTATTGCAGCACAAATTTGGGAAACACCGGTCCATTTCGAAGCCTTGCCCCTGTGGCCACGCCCACCCGGGTATCTAAGTTACGTTGCCATGTGCATATCTTCTCCGCGAGGGGAGCCAGCACACTGCCCCAAACAAGAGGTTTATGGATTCTCGCACCACTGCGAGACGTTGAACACCCATCTTCCGTGACGATTAAATAAGTGGGCTAGCTGCTCAGCAATCCTCTCCCTCGTCATCATCCGATTAAGAGTTCATAGAATGAGCAACTCCTCAAATTTCATCCGCATCATGGAGTTTGCGTTCTAATCGCATTCTAAAGCGCAGCTTACGATCCGTGGTAAAATGTCAGCGCCGCGCGCAACGTGCGTTGCGCGAACCTTGTCGAAACTAATGCGACCTTTTTTAACTTTAATGAGCTGCGCAAGCTCTCTTGTGTCTCATGTGCATTTACCCCACCTTCTTTCGCCTTAAGACTGTTGACTGTTGCCTTGTTGACCTGCTGCCGCCATATCTTACCAATCTGTGGGTACCTCATTTTCAGAAGCCTATGCGGAATGACAAACAGACGTCGTTTTGGCCGTCAGAACTACGTGAAGATCAAGAAGACGTGCCTCAAAAACGGGAATCTTTTTGTTGATTCTTTGTTCCCTCCCACAAATGCAAGCCTGTTCTTGGAACAAGGTCGAAATTCGGACGTTGTATGGAAACGGCCTGCGGTAATTACATAGAGTTGTTTCTGCTATACTTTCAAACCGATTCCAGTTATCAGATCAGTTACGAAGTTTCTGGGAAATCATGTCTGCCTCGGGATACAAAATCAATTT